GCCTACAAACGAACATGGAACAATACATTTATTAATCTGTGTTAATGTTAGTTAATAAAAAGACAATCGTTCAGTGTTTGTTCATGTTTTTGTTGCTGTTACGTGACGTAGCGGTGTCTGACTAGGGGCGAGACGTGGACTGATGACGTCATAGTTTCAGAAAATATACGGATTCGTTGTCCACACGAAAACACAAGGGCGGCGTTTTCAGATTTATCCACTCTGGGACCCGGTTTAAAAAAATATCGGTTTCACTCTCCCAAAACACCGGATCCTTCTGGACGAAACGCCTACAAAATTTATGCGTATACAGCTAAACGCGTCTCCGTGTGGACGCGTGGCCTAAAAGTGATCGAGGATGGATAATTAAGACAAACTTGATGAATCTGTGATATCTTCTTCAGGGCGAAAAAGGAAAATAAAAGCTTAAACGTTTTCACGGAACCTTGCAAAAGCAGCGCGTTACAATGGTGAGGGAAAAGCACAGTGTATTGCGTGTAATCACATCCATACAGATTACAAAGATTAAACAAGTGTTTTTTTTTTTTTTTACTCTAAAACATGAAATGTGGAGTTATGTGCTTTTGCCAAAAAACGACTGTTGGAGTTATCTGCTTTTGCTATAAAACAAGCTTTTAATATGTAAAAAAAAACATACTTTCAATGAACTTTAATTTTGTAAATTACGTGTATTTGTTTAAGTTATTATTACTTAATCAAAACAACCCAACTGCAGTTTGATTGATATTACTTGGAATGCGCAGTTTAAAAACGTGATTTCTGAAAATAAAAATAAAAATGGAGTTATCGGTTTTTGCAAATGAACTCTTCATATATTGCACTGAATACATTTCTGGAAATAAAATCCATTTTATACTGATATTATGAAATAATGTGCTAAAATGATTATATATTCCCTTACAAAACAATTATGGATTCAAGCTGTATTGTGTTTATTAGTGTGCACGATGGTATTATTACACTTGCTATATACATTACATTCTCATTACCAATTTATTTTTAACTAAGCCTTCTAATTCTAATCCTGATACTAAAGTCTCTCTAAGAAGGTCTATGGGGAGTCTTGTCGGTCCCCAACCCCTCAGTGACCTTGTCCCTTATCTCATGCTCTCTTTGTGCATTGGATATACGTGTATTCTTAGATATCTGTAGTCATGCAGTAATTTCCAAGTGCTTAACCCAATAAAGTTAATTAAAGACCCCATCAGCTTTGTGTACAGCATAATATATTTTATCTTCGTTCAGAGATGGTGTGCACTGATTGATTATTCAAGCCAACAAAGACATGAGATCAAAGCGTGACTGACTCTCACTTAGATCAGACAGAAAATATAATTCACAATAATTAATGAAGAACTACAATCAAAATATGTATTCTTAAGGGATAAAAGAGGGTGGGAGAGATTAAAAGGAGGATTATGTAAATCACTCTTATGCTTCAGACTTTTGTTCTTTTGGCAATATTATAAATATAACTGAAATTAACAAAAAACTGTCCTAATCAGAAGCGTTGCAACACACCATAAAAGGTATCTTTTCCATGTTAATCAGAGTTTTTGTCCTAACCAGCCGTGAAGGTGATACGCGACGAGCGACAGTAGATTCTATTTTAGAAATGGTTTCTATTTTTATTTGCGACATTGTGTCTAGAACAACATACACACTATGACAATGATGATCTGAGGTACTGATTATGTGCTTTATTTAATGTTAAAAGGGTCTAATTATGAGATCGAACACCATTTTGTGTGACCTTTATTACCATACTGAAAGCGAGAGTGGATAATTTACCTCAGATCTTAAAAAATGAATTAACGGAAACATAAACTTCCATACCAAAGATGGTATCAGTCACTCATTTGTTAAAAGTGCAGTGTGCTTGCAGAGAGAGCCCGCCCATGTGCTCTTCTGATTGGCTGTGATTGATTGTTGATTGATTTTGTTGCATCGCGTAGCTAGGATGAGTCTGGTGTGGACAGACAAATTGCTTGTTGCTTGAATCTTATTGCAGTGCGTTTGGTTCGGACGTAATCATGCATTTGAATCCTTAAATATATTATGTATATTATCACAGGGCAACTTCACTATCCTCAGTAACACATTGTAAAACACTTTTGTAATTAAGTGTGATTAAGTCATGTTTTAATATGTGGCGTCTGATGTCATATCATGCGTAGGGAACGAGATTAATCATTTGTTTCAGTTAAATGAAACATGCTAAATTAAAAGGAGTCATGATCCCTGTTGCTTATCATTAATCCCACAATAGCACATGTACAGGTGCAGTCAACAGTATGTTGTTCTATTTTCACTATTTGCTCATAAATCTGTGTACGGTTTGTTTGCTCAGCTTGTCTAATGCTCAAAAACCGATTAGCTAAACGATGCTCGTTGCTGGATGCTGTATTTTAACTGTATGATGTTGTAATGTGCTGGCAGATGGAACCAGCTGGATCTAGCCATAGTCCTGCTCTCTATCATGGGCATCACCCTGGAGGAGATCAAGATGAACGCAGCACTGCCAATCAACCCCACTATCATCCGCATTATGAGGGTGCTGAGAATAGCCAGAGGTCCTTTAATTTTAGCTAGTTAACAAAAAAGTTATTTGCATGTTCTATTACAAATAGACTTGTGGGATTTGATTTGTGCCTTTGCCCGCAGTACTGAAGCTTTTGAAGATGGCTACAGGCATGAGAGCCCTGCTAGACACAGTTATGCAAGCTTTACCACAGGTAACTAATGTTGTGTGTTTTTACATTAATTCATTCATGTATTTATTTAATAATAAATATATATTTTTATATAAAAATATTTATATTATTTTATATGATATGGTATTTATATTTGTTATATTACATTTATGTTTATACATAACTTGTTAAAAATAATAATTTTACAAATATTTTTGTCTTTTGTTATATATTATTTAACATGGCCAAATACATTAGGTTGCACTAATGTACTTTTAAAACATTATGATATAGAGAATAAGGTAACTTTTTATTTTATGCTCCAATTCTTGCTATTAAGTAACTCTTAACTATGACTTTTGCCTCAATACACTCCTAAATACTGCCTATTTTAAGTTAGTAAGGTAGTTCTTAAGTTTACGTATTGAGCAAGACTTAGGGACGTAGAATATGGTCATGCAGAATATGTGTTTTATAAGTACTAATAAACAGCCAATATGCTAGTAATATGCATGCAAAAAAAGCAAGTAGTTAATAGTGAGATTTGGTCCCTAAACTAAAGTGTTCCCGAGAATAATATTGTAACAGCTAAAGTAACTCTAATATATACTGCACAGTGTATTATAGACAAAACATTACCTGACAAAACATTTTTATACACACATATGCTGTGTGTGTGATTTTGCTTTAAAGAGATATAGATGTACTGCACAATTGCATTTGTTTTTTGTCTTTGTGTGGATATGTAAGACATGGGGGAGGACAGAGAGAAAGTTGGAGATAAAATATCTATAACACGATGTTACTCCCCATGATTGATTGTTTAATAACATACTGTGATAATGCGCTTCCTCTCTTTAGGTGGGAAATCTGGGCTTGCTGTTTATGCTCCTCTTCTTCATTTATGCGGCACTTGGCGTGGAGCTTTTTGGGAAACTAGGTCAGTGCTGCAATCCTGCTCACTGTTCATACTGAGCTCTCCATTTCACAGTTCTAGCGGCTTTGCTCTACCTTAGCTGCCACTCTCATTTTTGGGTTAGAAATGCTTAAATTTGGTCCCCAAAGGCACGCTTCAGTTCTCTTACCGTTTTAGAGCTCTCCTTAGAATACAGTGCTGTCATAAGGGGAGAAGAACCTAAATTAGCTCTGTTGATCTTTGGAGCTTGTTCCTGCAATGGCAGCGTTTTTGTAAGATAGCCTCTAGGCTCAAATAGACATTTCTATGCTACTTATATCCCTGCGAGAGGCCTCTGGAACACGAATGACAGGATTATGGTTTCTCTTAAAGGGCAAGCACTCTAATTACTTTCATTAGCCTTCAACTTTAAAATCAATCCTAATTATTGTGTCAGACGTGTCTGGGGGCAACAGCTCATTTGCTTCTTTAATGGTAATACAGGGGACTCTGTCAGGTTATCTCCACTTTTAGCAACACATTCAGTGATAGTCTAGCTATGCTTTTTGTGTATAAAAAGTATTTGACTGTCATCAAACTATTATTTACCTATGTTTTCATCTAGAATGCAATGACAACAACCCATGCGAAGGATTAAGCAGACATGCTACATTTGAGAACTTTGGAATGGCCTTTTTAACGTTATTCAGAGTATCGACGGGGGACAACTGGAATGGCATAATGAAGGTATACAGTGCAGAAAGACTTTTCATTGGTCTTTTTATAATTGCATTGAGAGTGTTTTATAGGTGCAGTTTTATTCATGAACGTGTCGCATATTTGCAGGACACTCTGCGAGAGTGCCTTCCAAATGAAAGTAACTGCTTCAGCTATCTGCCCCTGGTTTCCCCCATCTACTTCGTCACCTTTGTGCTAATCGCTCAGTTTGTGCTGGTTAACGTGGTGGTGGCCGTACTGATGAAACACCTGGAGGAGAGCAATAAGGAGGCTAAAGAAGATGCAGAAATGGACGCTGAGATTGAGATGGAGATGGAAATGGCTCGGCGTCTCAGCAACGTCTCAGCAGGGAGCTCTTCAGGGCCGGATGGAAGGGCAACTTATGTAGGACCACACCCGCAGAAGCATGGACAGGTATACATGCCACGGTTTACCCCAAATGACGCAGAAGTCATTAACAAACAGTGTCGAAAAGAAAGAATGTTTTTAGTTAAACCATGTATTTATGGTTTTATGGTATTTAAGTATAATGAAGGGTTTTCAAACTGGGATCTGGGGAACTCCAAGGGGCTGCAACAGAGTACTAGGGTATATAACACTTAATATTTTTCTTTATACATGAAAATATATACCTGCCTTTATATTTTAATTCTTTCTTTGGGGGATCGTCATATTTGGGGGTCCTTGACAAAAATAGTGGTATAATGAACTGGCAATAGTGTACGAAACTTTATCCCATTTGTTTTCTTAGTTTAGTTCTGCACTTACTGAGCACCATTAACTCTATAAGGAGCAGCCTGAGTTAGCTGCGGGCAACAGAATTGCATTTGTGTTTTATTGGGTGCTGAGTTGTCACAATACAAAGAAAATATGCTGAGGGGATGTGGACAGTGAGAAGTGAGGCTCTGCGGGGAAGCCAGGAACATTTGTTACCCCTCATGGGCTGCTCTGGCAAGGAGTGTATTTGCTTTGTCAGCTGCAGCGAGCTGGTGTATGAACCTGGCAAGCTTGGCTCTAGGTGTTTATAGGTTTGTGAGTTTATGTGGGAGGGCAAAAGCACAAAAGCAGAAGAATACATTTCTCTTCCGCAGGATGAGGGGATGCAAAGAACACAGGAGAATTTGCTCTCTCCACGGAAAATGTCAGTGTCAAGGATGCACTCTTTGCCCAATGACAGCTACATGTTTCGCCCTGTGAGGCCAGCCAGTGCTCCTTATCCACTGGAAGAAGTGGAAGCCAGTCAAGGGTACCTTGAATTAGGTATAAAGAATCAGAGTACATGACTTTGTGTATTAATAATTACTGATCTCGAAAGGGGGAAAAAAACTTATGAAAAGTCTTCATTAACCTTTCCTGTAGGCTCTATCACCTCAGTCCACTCCCAGCCATGCGAAAGCCATTCCCTGCTCCAGGTCCCCGGTGTTCCTCCCCATTCCCAGTTCAACTACCTCCCCAAGATTCCCCCTCCCATGCCCTCTCCAACCCACAGCATAGGCAGGACTTTACGCAGACAGGTATACTCTCGCTCGTCTCATCTGTATTAAGTGCTTCACTGTTGTTCAGTGCTTGCAGTTCACGTTGTCCTATGTTTATTCTTTCAGAAGGCAATTAAAAATGACTCCGTCGACGTGCAAAGTTTCGACTCCAAAGACAATCCCGACAGACAGGCAGGAATAACTACAGGCAGCTTCAAGCTGCGTGTTCCTCGGATCACCGGACCCAGCATCCCTCAGGGGTCACCCTTGCTGCCCCCACGTGGACATGCCCCCAGTGTCTGCACCTTCCAGCAGCCCCATAGCCAGCACAATATCCCTTCCAGACCTCCCAGCCTGGCCAGCAGCAGCAGAAGCACCAGCCCCAGTGGCTCCATGTTTGATTCCGCCGATCCGACCGACGAGGAGGTCCGCCACATCAACAGCACAGCACGGCTGTGGGTAGGGACTCAGGCAGAAGCCCGGAGTCACTCCCTGTCTCCTTACACCACCTCAGGGATGCTGCTTCCCGTCCCCGTGAAGAACTGCAGCAGTGCTGCTAACTTAAGCGTCAAAGACCCGAAGAAGTGCTTCAGCGTGGACACGGAGGGTTTTCTGGAAAAACCCTATGGTACTGATGACCATCGCAGGCACTCGATTGAGATTTGCTCTTCAGTAGATGAAGGGCTGTTCGGTCAAGAACTCAGTGAGAAGAGGCACGTTCCCATGCGTGGACAGTCGTTGCACATTCCCCGGAAGAAAAAGATGAGCCCTCCCTGTATCTCCATTGAGCCCCTGTTTGAAACGGAGGCTCCCGCTTCTCTCGCATCCATGAAAAAGCTGTCGGAGAGCAGCATGCTACTACGGAGGAGGACGCCATCCTATGACCTGGCCCTGCAGCGGGACACTCTGGATTTGCCGGAGAACCAGCTGTCTACCCAGCCGCTCATCAAAGTAGAGCGGCACCCCTCTCACTGTGCTGAGTATCTGTCCCTGCCGCACCCCACCCCAATGGGCGGACTGGCAGGCATTCTGTGTGAAAACACACAGCCGCCCCCCTTTGACAGCCGGTTTGAAGAATCCACGGACTTCAGCTCTGTAAACAGGACAGCCCAATGAGGGACATCGGCTTTAGTCAAATTTTACCGTCCACACTCAAGTTGACTACACTCAACTAGTTGAATGGGGGATGTCGACCTCTTTCTGTAGCCAAAGTTTTCCTTGTTTCTTTTTCAGATGTAATATCATCATGAAAGCCAGCCAGGAATGGCAACCGAGCCTAGCGGGGAACAGCGTTTGATCTGACTGTGTTGAACATGGGATATGCAATTTCAGGTTTCCACATGGAACTCTTATTTTAATCCCAGTGCTCAATCACATTGATTTGAGTTCAGGATGTGTAGTGTTGTGTATCATCTGTATCATATTTGTCAGTCTCTCCTCCCTTTGTCATGAGCATCGGTAATGTTTTCTGTAAAGACAGAGTATACACATTAAAAGACTAATAAGAACTGTACATGTTATGTATTTTATTGACTCATGATGTGTAAATAGAGAACATATTGTATTAGTGGAGAAACAAGCTTTATTCATATGCACATATTTTTTATAGAGATCTATAATGTTTTTGCACACATCAATTTGAATTGTCCTCTGTTGTCTTCTTGTGAATGTACATTTTTTTTATCAAATAGCTGTGGGATCAATTCTAGTCTGTTTAGGCCTACTGATATTGAGATGATTTTTATTTTTCTATTGGGAGGACGGGGTGTGTCGTATAATATAGATCCAATGAGAACCAAACTCCAAATGATCTGTAGCCTGAGTGCAATACACTATAAATGTTTCTGTAAGTTTACCCAGTTAGGTTACTCACTTTTTAAGCAAACATAGCCAGTAACGTGCATCTCACATACACAACCCTTTACCATACTCAGGTTCATCTCAAAATGTATATTACGATTTCTGCTACACTCTACATTGTAGCCAAATTTAACCAGAACATAACCTATTTTAACATTTTGTGGCCCTTGGCTGTGGCACAAGTTGCATGTGAAGGACAGAGTAATTCAAATGTAAATGTGACCGTTTCTCCTGATGTTCAAACTTTATAACTGTCAAAGCAGAAGACTGAGGGAGTTTATATCAGCACACGTCTGATCTATTTTTTGATCTGCTCTGCTTTGAAATGGCACCTCTGGGTTTGTGCCCTTGTGAAACAATGAAACAACTGTTTAATGAAAGGAATGTTTTGATTTGTTTTTTTGTTTGTTTTTTAGAAGTGATCAATGTGATTTATGTATAGTTAAACTAAGCCATGATGTTTTTGGCAAATCACAGGTAAATGACACCTGCAAATCCTGCTCTTTAAATTATATAAATCACACAACTACATATCCAGTGTCATTAATGCATCACCTGAGATTTAAAATAGTTGATGCAGCTTTGGTGCTGTGCTAATTTACTTTTTTCCTCCATTTATGATTCTCCTCAAAAGATGGAGAGGGAAAATCAGTTGCATGTTATCGAGAGATTTAGAAATACAAACATCTGGATGTTTTTGATATTTCAATTTTCAGATATTTTCCATTTGTAAACTTATTATTTAATTGCACTGAGATGTAATTACAAGGTATTCCTCTTTGTAGAAATGAGTAAACCCACTTATTGTTGTCTAATGCAATATTTTATGATAGCCTATGTTGAGATGAGTGCAAGAGGTTTAGAAGTTTTAGCAAAAATCATGGATGATTACAATTGATAAAAGTATGTACTCTGACAACATAATCTGACATCAATTTAACATTGGACTTTGAGACAAATGTGTGCAGTGTTTCATGTATCTTACGGTACTAGATCCATGTTTTTGCAAGAGGATTGTTGAGGTTTTTTTTTTTTAAATTGCTATTGAATAAATGATAGAACTGTATGGATGGAGTAGTATATAACTGCTTAAAGTGTTTTAATCACTTTGGGCACATGGACATTCTTAGCGGGGTTTTTTTTTTTTTTATATGAGCTTTTGCCATCAAGCAGCCTAATGTCCTTAACCCTTCAATAAATAATCAAAGCATTTTCCTCAAGCTTTCATGATGATATCCTTCTCTCTCGTTATTGCAACTAAGACTTCTTTATGTAATGCAAAATGTCTGAAATTATTATTATTATTATTTTGGTTTTGATATGACTTGGCTGATGAAGAAGTGTTTGAAAAGCTATATACAATCGTATTTTTTTACCTTTCTACACAATCTGAGGGATATTCTCTCATCTACAGATAATCATTTTCTAGCAAAAGGAAGATGTGTAATTTGTTTTTAAATTTATATAGACAGTTCAATAGTGTTAATATATTAAACTGTCCCTAAAAATATTTTTTCAATCAGATGCAATTTGTCTTTTGTTTTTAACGAGGGGCAAACAAGCAAAGATAAGGTCAAAAGCAGAGCCAGTTCAGACCCACCAGCTTTAAAATAGTGTAGCTTAAATGACACTATTCTAAACTTTATCTCCATACCGAAATCTCAGATGGCTAAGGATTCATCTTTTATGAATGGTTAAAATGGTGTCCAGGAGCCCGTGAACCTATGAACTATAGCATAGCTCATAAACAGCTGTTGAGATAATGTTCTCAATTGAAACAAGTAGAGACTTGGACTCAAAAGCAGTATGATTCAACCAGTGGATATGATCATAGTAAAGGAACTGTTGACTCCCACATTTCACCTGTATGCAGACATGCATTGTCAGGAACCCAGACGTAGATGCAAATGTAGTAACTACACCATCTGGCAAAATACATCTATATAGTCTTTGTTTTTTTTGGCAAAAGTGGTATACTCATGGACACACGACATGTAAAATGGATGTAAGCAACATTTTGCAGACTGCAAATATTTCATATTAAAGTAGAGTACCCAGCTGAAATGAACATACCCAGTCTGCTGTCTTTCATATTCATATTATAGGATATTAGTCACTAATAAAGGGTTTAGTCATTATTATTATTATCATTATTGTTATTGTTATTTTTATGGTATTTATGTCTGAGGTTACTGAAACATTAAGCCTGGCTGCAGAACTGAGAGCCCATGATCAGAGGCGCCATAAGGGGGGAAGGTTAGGACGATTCCAAGGGCCCCACGAAGGAGAGGGGCCCGGAACGTGATCGTGGTGGGCCCAAGTCAACATGCTATTCAGGGGGTCCAGAAACCATAATGGCGCCCCTGACCGTGATTAAAGATTATGAATTAGGTACTTCTGGGGATCCTGCGCCAGCCCAGCAACTGCCATTAAAATGAATGAGAACACGAACGGTATAATGGAAAGCTGTCCGGATATTATGGACCGCTTTGTGATTCACTCACTCGATTCAAATCAGTTTGTTTGGAAGAATTTATTTACACTGTTACTCTCCAGTCGTCGAAGGTAAGTAAAGTAAGGTAAAGTACATGTACTAAGTCAAGCATAACAACGGATAAAAAGTATTAAAGTCTCATGAACCTCGTCCAAAAAGCCAGAGTACAGTGACTGAAATTCGCTGCTTACCTTACTTAAGTATTTTGACATTATGATAAAAGAATATGAGATAACCAAGTTACCACAGATTTATTATCAGCAACACTGTGGAAATTTTGGCGGCAAATATTAATGTTTTTTTGATGCGCTATTCTCTACTTACCTGACTGGATGTTTTTTTTTAAATCCTCCAAAAATCCTATATGCAGCTCATACGAATTTTTATTTTAATTATTATTCATCTGTGTCGCTGTAATAACTATTTTTGCTTAGCTTTCTGACTGGTCAAAGGCAGGAGCAGTATAGCGGAGTGTTGGCGTATGTCGCCATCTACTGGACAGTGGTGCACTTACATACGTTGGAATAAACGGAACTATCGGTTTGAATTGAAAGTGTTCCACACGGAACTAATAGTGTGGTTACACTGACGGTCGGTCACAGAACGTATTAAAACGCCGTTCTTCTGGTTGTTGTTTTGAATACAGGACAAGTAAAAGGACTTATGTATAATGATTACATTAATTAAGTGGTACGAGTGTCTGTCATATATCCTACTACTACAAATTTAGCCATGAATATTAACGTGTTACTGTTGTCATACAGTAAGTTACACATTTAGTATGATTAGCGTTGGTATTTTTTGGTAGAATAAAATAACGATAGACAGAAGCGTCAGGGTGATATATCAACAGCAGTTAGCGCTAAAACTGCCATCTGAAGTAGAAGACAGAAATGTGGGGAGAAATCGAGCCATGTATCAAACCCCAGGAGGGAGAAAACATGAGCAGCTGTGGGACAAGACAGAGATGGACAGACTCTGCACATGTACAGGTGAGATGTGTTCAGCTCATTGACATTCACAGAAGGGTCGTTTATGAAATTCATGCTTTATGAAAAGTACAGTTTTGCAAGGTCTGATACATGCTATCAGACAAATAAAGTTGCATTGCGCCAACTCAAGCTACGTGACTACATTTAAATTTTTTACTTAAACTTAAACAAAATGCAAATTTCAAGATAGTCCCTTACTGACAAAACATTAGATTACGTGGTAAAAAGAGAAGCATTTGCTTGTAAATGAGGAATTCTTCTTTGAATAAAGATGGGTAAGTCGTAACACACAACTAGAACATTAACACAAAATAATGTTCTTTTTAGCAGCATCATATGACCCCTTTAAGTAAAATTAAAACTTTTCATGAAATGGAAATTCACTTGTCTAAAAGCTTGTTATTGATCTTACTGCGAATGATTCATCTACTGTATGCATATGTGGATTTTTTTTTAGTCCAAATGTCTCAACCTGTCAGTGAAATTACAGACTTTTCTCTGGTGATGAATGAGGGCTTTTTCAATCATTCAGTCTGTTTAAAATCCACCTCTTCCTTAAAATCAAACTTTCATCACAACTTAAAAAAATAGAAAGAGAGAGAAAAGTGACAGTAAAGACGAAATGCTAGCTTTTCCCTTTAGATGTAGATAATATCTAGTCATTTTGTACAATTACCAAATGATACTAACCTCTTGAATCTCTGTTGACGCTGCTCTCTAAAGCAGAAGACAGCAATGTGGGGCGAAATCCAGCCATGCCCTAAACCTAACCCATCTGACAACTGCAATGAACCTGCTGCTGAGACAGATGTCAAGGAGGCCCACAACACAACAAGCAGCTCTCCAAATCAAAAGGTGAGGTGTCACCTGTGCTCATGCAATATAATTCTATACATGAGTCTAACCATGCGGCGCTTGCTTGTTTTCCTCAGGAGCAGCCATCCAGCTGTCTCAGCTCAGTGATCGCGGCTATAGCAGCCAGTGGGAGTCCAGTGAAAAGCCAGCAGCTGGGAGAGCCAGATTTAACTCTGCAGGAGAAGAAGGAGGTTTTAATGGATCAGTACAAATCCAAGTCCTTGGTATTTCTGGAGCGCTATCAGGCCCATCTGAAGCCAGAGCACATAGAGGCTTTCTCACACCTGAGCAGTGACTGCAGAGCGCAGTATTACTGCAGGGAGATTCAGAGACGCAGCACAGCCAGCACAACCGACCGGAAACGGGTCCGTAACCATCGTTATGCAGCTCTCCGTGCTCTTCAGAAGGGTAAGCACAGTTTGTTTGTTTGTTTTCAAACACCAGCTGGAATTTTAATCTGGTGCTTTTCAAATCAGTTTGTCACCTGTTGAGTTTCTAAGTAGTTTTTTTTTTATTTTCTTGAACTTCAAGGCTTTTATGTATTAATGACCGTAGTTATTTACAAATTGGCCAACTTCCATGTACCAGCATAGTTCATACTGTCGTTCATTAGACTGGCACAAGTTGCTGAATATTGAATATGTACTTTATGATTGTTAGAACATGGCTGTCTCTCATTTCAGAGATTGCCTGTTCCGGAGGTTGCATTTGTCGGCTGCATGCATCGAGTAACTGTTAGATTGCAGAGTAAGAAAGAAATTAAGAGTATTTTACACCTCAAAAGGAATAACAATCAGTTTCATTACCATTACATTTTTTTTTAAAACGAGACCACCTCAATGACGTATGCAACCGACAAATGCGACCTCCGGAGGACACAGCCTCCGAAATGAGACGCAGCTTGTTCGAAGTCTCCTCCAGAAAGTTACAAAATGACACTGCCTGTTAAAATACTTCATTTTGGCCAAATTCTAACGCAGCATCGCTCACGGAGAAGGCAGTCTCAAACTGCATTTCAGCAAGAAAAAAAATTCAAGATGGCGCGGATGAACCTGGACAATTGTTCATTTATTAAAGTCATATATTTCATTCAGTAAAAAAAAGAATTGGTAAAAAATAATGTAATATAAAATATACGCTACTGTTCAAAAGTTTGGAGTAAGATTTTTTTAATGTTGTTGAAAGAAGTCTCTTATGCTCACAAAGGCTGCATTTATTTGATGAAAAATATTACAAAAACAGTAATATTGTGAAATATTATTTTAAAATAACTGTTTTGTATTTGAATATGTTTTAAGATGTAATTTATTCCTGTGATGCAAAGCTGAATTTTCAGCATCATTCCTCCCGTCTTCAGTGTCACATGATCCTTCAGAAATCATTCTGATATACTGATTTGCTGCTCAAGAAACATTTCTTATTAATATCAGTTGAAAACAGTTGTGCTGCTTAATATTTTTGTGTGAACGTGATACATTTTGTTCAGGATTCTTTGATGAATAGAAACATCTAATATCTAACATTATAAATGTCTTTACTCTCACTTTTGATATGTGACCCTGGACCACAAAACCAACCCTTTAAATGGTACTGGGAAATAGTTCGCGCAAAATCGTCCCAGTACTTTAGTACAGTACATTTAGTTCTGGAACTAAAGCGGTGCGAAAGGCCCTATTGACAATTTTGACCCATGCAATGTATTGTTGGCTATTGCTACAAATATACCCCAGCGACTTAAGACTGGTTTTGTGGTCCAGGGTCACATATAATGTACTGTATTCATGTATGTTAAATAAAATGATTAATAAAACCAAAAAAAGCAAGGCAAGAAAATCTATAAAATAACTCCTCTGCCACTTGCAAGAATAGCACTTTTATTTTATTCAGCCACTTTATCTCTCGGCAGAGGGCCAGTACTTCAGCGAGGAGCAGATGCGTGTGCGAGATCTGCTGCTATACGAGCAGTGCATCGGACAGTACCTCAGCGAAGAGGAGATCCTGCAGCGCTCAGAGGAGGCCATGAGAAGCGGCCCGGGGGGACTCGCTGACCTGCTTATCAACTCCTACCAGGAGAAACTGATCCAGAGCCGCCTGGAGGAGGAGCAGGAGAGAGAGCAGTGTGCAGCGGAGGAGTCTGAGGAGGAAGGTGCGAGATCCCACTGACTGACTCATGACTGAGGTTCCATTTAATTTCTTTATTGATGAATGTGTTTTTGTGTGTTTTAGAAAGTGACGAGCCCAGACAGGTAGAGTGGGAGCCGAATGCAGAAGAGAAAGCCATGCTGAGAGAAGAGTTCCTCGGTCAAATGCATCAGCGCTTCCTGGATGGCAAAGATGACTTCAACTACAGGTCAAATCATAGTGCTTGCTCATATAGGTCTCAAAGTTTGAATCTAAAATATGAATGTTGCATTACCAGGATGTATTTCTCTTCAAATCAGTTGTTGCTATTTATTAAACTATACTGTAGAGAGCTAATTGCCCATATTTTAGTTCTTGCATAACCTTGTATCTTAATATTAAAATATTAAAGGGGTCATATGATGCGATTTCAATTTTTCCTTTCTCTTTGGAGTGTTACAAGTTCTTGGTGCA